TTTCCCTGATGATGCATAATTTTTGGACACGCACGACGTCGGGGGGAAGGGACACGGGAGTGGGGCGTCTATGGGGGGCGTTTTGGCCTCGGTTTCGTGAAGACCGGGCGCCTTGGCCAATATGTTTAGTAAATCTGAATTAATTCGAGCGAGTTATGGACACATTCGCAAATATGTTCACTGATCTGGGATTGCTACGGGAGTAGCAGGTTTGGCCGCATCTTCAGGGATTGCCCATAAGGAGGGGCAGTGAGTGCACATGCTCCAGTCATCTGCGAGGTTGGTTCAAGGGCTTGGACGAGGGAGTTATGAGTAGTTTTCAGTATCCTTAGTTTTTATGTTTGGAAGAGCCATCAGGATTGACGAGGGAAGAGAGAGTTGTGGCTGAGGTTTGGTTAGACTATCCGTTCGTTGGACTCCGAGATCTGAACGTGACATCGTTTAAGCATTTGAAGTTATTAATGATGTTGGGATACAAGAAGTGTTAGCTGGATTTCTGGAAGTGTGCTGTTTGGGCAGGGATATTTTGGTATGCTAGCTTTGGTGAGCACTGACCGTCAGCAAGATGAGCATGGGAACGTAATGAAGATTGGGAATCCTTCAATTTTCGTGTGCCGAGCAGACTTAGTTGAATCTAAGTGGGGGAGAACCGTCCAGGTATCCAGGGAAAAAGTAAGGGTGAAGGTGATGTAAGACTACGGGAAGGCCGTAGCATTCACTAATGGCCAGTTAAGGTATAGTGTTGTAAGACTGCGGGGGAGCCATAGCATTCACTAACAGTAGAGAGTGTTGTAAGACTGCGGGGGTGCCGTAGCGTTCACGGATTCTTTCAGGTGATTTGGACTAGGGAAGGCTCGTTCGCAGGGTTGTGGGGGAGCCACAACTTGGTTAGGATCAGGACCAGAGGTGCTTGACCGAGCAGTTATTCGGGGGTGAGCCCAAATAGTTGTGGTAATTTAACATGGAACCGATAGAGACTGCTGAGCTAAGGGTTGGACCTTGTGATACATGATCTGGTGGTCGAGTAGTGCATTTTTCGGTAGGGCTACGACTGGGTAGCCCTATTATTGGATCTCATAAGAACCTGGAGGTTAGACCGGGTGCGAGACTGGAAGTCTCAGGGAATCGGCTAAGGGTATTTATTAATTGGCCGGGTAAAGGATGACGGGAAGTTATGGAGCATTACACAAATGCCGATTCGGGGATCTCTGGATAGGAGAGGAGTAAAAATTCGGAATTGGATAGGATTCCGAATCGGAATTCGTGCAGGATTTTGTTTCAGTGAGATGGGATGTGGGGCATCTAATGCCAAGGGCATAGAGGGCAGAATTACAGGGTGGTGACCGGGTTGGTATTGATGGTAGTCTGAGCCATTGTGATGTGCCTAGGGTATCTCTATCCGTAATAGAGCCACGACATGTCGGAGTCAGGAAACGGCAGGTCGAAGGTGACCGGGTACGATGTAAGACTACAGCTATTCTGGTAGTATTCACCTTTTTACGTCGGATTCAGTGGCGACAGGTTGTCAGTCTATCTCGATCAGATGGATCAAATGGATTGAAGGAGATAGATAAGTTATTGTTAGACGAGGTATCCTTCGGAGGTCGCCAGGGACTGCTGAGTGTGTTTTGGCTCAGCAATTGGGGAGGTGTACTGTAACGCCCGTAGATCTGGGCTAGTCAGTTTAGAGACAATAATCATCAAAAATGAGTTTTTGATGGAAGATTATTTATAAGTATTAATATTTTCCAAGTGGTAGTATGTGTTACAAGGGTTCCGTACACATAAATTACGCCGAAATCCAAGTTATAACGAAGAAGTTATGACCTGTCGAAGTTTTTCGGCAAAACTGGCACGGTACCGGGAGACGTAAATAGTGAATTTACGGTGGAGGACTTTTTAGCCTTAGAAATCTAAACAAAATTTTTAGTATACATTAAACCGAGAACATACAAAAAAAGAACGCCCAAATCTGACTTCGTAAGAGGAAGTTATGAATTTTCTAAGATTTGGCATAGCAGTGCACGACCCGAAACTCGAATTTTAGATCGAGCGGTTTTTGGCCTATGCGACCTAAACGAGAGTGAAAGATCTCATTAATAGGAAGTAAATGGTAAAAAGACAGACGAAAACGGAGTCCGTATGTAGAAGTTATGAATTTTACGCGGACATTTAACAGTATAATCTCCTCGTACTGTTAAATATAAAATCGGTCGAGAGATAGACGACGAAGTCAAAATGAATGTTGTAGATAATATTTTTACCTACGCGTGGATATAAGGAATGTCGAAAACGAAGCTCGTATGCGAAAGTTATGAATTTTTGAAAATCGGCTGATTTCCACCCTGTGTGCGATGCCATGTGTCAGCACCAGGCGAAACCTAGGAGCCTACGCAACACCATGACGTGGTGAGAGGCACCACGACGTGGTGAAGCCCCAGGCATCCTATAAATAGAGGTGTCGGGTGAAGCTCATTCCTTACACCTTCAATCCCTTCTTTCTCTCTCTAGAACCTCTCTCTAAGCCCTAAAATTCCCCAAAAAGCCTAGGGAACCCCCTAGCACGAGGCGAAAGCCCCGGAGCGCCCGACGGCTCCAAAAAGTAGAGCCTTCGGCTTAGAAACTCTGCTTCGGTGGAGTCCGGTTTTGATAAAAACCCACGGTAAGTAAGCTACACCTACCTTATCTTTAGTATAACTTATGTTTGAATATAGTAATGTTATTAGGACCTTATAATAATTATTTGAGCTATTATTATGGGTTATATAAATGTCGTTATAATATCTTTTTAACTACTCGCGGTACGCGGAATCTGGTGTAAAGGGCCGCATAGGGTTGTTGGATTTCAGAAGTGCTATATGCCAAAATGGTCATGCCCTCCGGTGTTTTATGTCTACCCCTGTCTGTACATAGTGGTTGGAAAATATTGTTTAAAAGCTTATATAATAGTAATAATAGCTAGACTATTAGTTTGTCGCGGTTAACGTTAAACTAAACTCTAGTGGTATTGATACTAGGTTTTGTTGAAGGGAATTGTTTTAAGAGTAACGAAGTGCTGTCCGAGTGCCGAGTCACCACCTTATCAGGTGAGTGCATAGTTACTTTCATCTTACACATAGATATGAAGTATTTAATATAAATTACGTGCTATGTGTGCATTTTATCTGTATACTTGCTTTCTATGCTGGATGAACAATTTTATACATGTTTTACACGATTTAAACTGTATATATATATATATATATATATATATATATATATATATATAATATATATATCTACAAAATATTTTGGGTAAACATGGGTAGATAAAATATGAGTTAGATGATGAGGTGAGAGGTGAACTAGACCATGAGGTGAGGGTGAGAGGTGGACGATGTGAGAAGCCTTTTACCCAAATGCTGGCCCCGTCATCTAGCAGAGTATGGATGACAACCATGGAGTATTCTAGACAGTGTGAACACTAGCAGGCTGCAACCGACTGTGTTCACCGGTGTACTCTAAAAACCCATTGACATGTATTGCGAGTGGACTCTCGAAAATGATACTGTTAATAAACGAGATAACGTTGGCAGCTGTGCCCGAAGGACAATACCAGTACCTGTGCCACATAGAGAATGTCACAATTCTGGCAGCTGCGCCTAAGTGATAGAACTAGCAGATGTGCTTGACAGCTGTGTCATAGGCAACGATGGACTTCATGCCTACTCCTTAGGACAATCCTTAGGAATGAATTAACGAGGAATAGTCGATTCTTAAGGTAGATCCTTAAGAGTAAATAAGATAATGGGGATGGGTAATTGGGTTGATTGATAATGATTATATTATTGTGGGTTGAAAATGCTATGTACTCACCAGGTTTCCCAACCTGACCCACCCAAGCTTATTTGTATCACAGGTGTCGATACGAAGCCACTTTACACTCAGAGATTTAAAAGAGATGAAGATCACTAGTGTAAATGAATGTAAGTTCTGTTTATGCTTATGTTTCTGTATTGACAATGACATCCCAAGGTTTTAAAAGGAATAAAAATATATTTCTTCGGAAATGATTTGATAATGTATTTATCATGTTTTTCTGGGATCAAATTCCGCAATATTTTTATTAAAAGAAGTACTTTGATTTTTATAAAGCATAAAAAAAAATCGGTCTTTTCTGGCCGTGAAAAATGGGGATGTCACAGTTGGTATCAGAGCATTAGTTTAATCGAACTATGAATAAGGATTTATTTATAGACTTAAACTTAGAATGCTAAGAGATGATCGTGAGGAGTGTGTCTAATAAAATTTAGGTAATACACCTGAATTGACACAAGCACTATCTTATTTAGGGAAAATGCCTAACATGCTTTATGTGCTAAATGATTTGTGATATGCATTATATGATCGGATCTATGGTCTGTTGCCGACCGGATCTGGAAACTTTATGTGTTCAGAATTCTAAACGTTTAATTACGGTATTAGAACTGGCATGTAACTTTTCGGAGTAATAAGGAGGAATACGCCTCTAAACCTTCCTCTATCTTTATTCTCGTCTCGATACACCAAACGATTGCTTTGGTGTGCAAAAAATCATGGTAAAGACTCGTAGTGAATTGAGTAAATGGAGGAACTGAGAAGGCTTACGATACTGAGTGGTACCTATCAGAAGATATCGTAAGAGTAATATCTTGCCTTTAGAACGTGTCTAAGAAATAATAGGTCTAGTACGGGAGAAGTACACTTTCGATTAGCAGAAAGAAAGATTTTTGGTATAATCCATGAAATTATCCCATCATCTTACATTTCCATCACCAACCGAGTTGAAGCAGAGTTGATGATTGAAGATACGCATGGAAGAAGTCCTAGTAGAGTCTAGGGAAAATTATATGATTGTTTGGACACAATTGTATGTGTTAAAATTGTTTTTGTGATAATGACTTGGAGAACTGCAAGACAATACTTGGGACGAGTATGAGTAGGTGTGAATGGTAGTAGAGGCGTATACTACCAGAAGCATA